TTTTTCGAGACAGGGTTTCTCTGTGGCTTTGGAGGCTGTCCTGGAACTCGCTTGGTAGTCCAGCCTGGTCTCGAACTCACAGAGATCCGCCTGCCTCTGCCTCCCAAGTGCTGGGATTAAAGGCGTGCGCCACCAACGCCCGGCGGGAACCATGCTTTGAGGGTGAGGTTTCCCATGTTCCGGTGGATGCCCCTGGCCTGCATGCACAAATGAGCAGTACTGATTGGATTTGGTGAGTTATCAGGTTAGAGAAATGAGAAGGAATAAACAAAAAAAGGAAAAGAGGTTAGGAGGGGAAAGTGTTTGGGGATACAGAGGGAGCTGGAGGGAGGAAGTGAGGATATATATGATCATATTTCATTACATGCATGCATGAAATTTTCAAAGAATTAAAAACAAGGCATAATAGAGAAAATAGATGTTTTTAAATGGGCAGGCGTTTCTTTTTGGTTTTGTTTGTTTTTCAAGACAGGGTCTCTTTGTGTAGCCCTGGCTGTCCTGAAACTCACTCTATAGACCAGGTTGGCTTCGAACTCACAGAGATGGCCTGTCTCTGCCTTCTGAGTGCTGGATTAAAGGTGTATACCACCATGCCCAGCTCTTACCCTGGAATATTAAACTTCAAATGATCTTTCTAGAATGCCAATCAAAATCTGTCCAGATTCTGTGTGAAAACTGTGCACCCATAAAATTAAACAAACAAAAACCAAGCAGGGCAGTGGTGGTGTACACCTTTAATCCCAGCACTTTAGAGGCAGAGGCAGGCAGATCTATGTGAGTTCGAGGCCAACTTGGTCTACAGAGTGAGTGCCAGGACAGGTTCCAAAGCTACACAGAGAAATCGTCTTGAAAACAAACAAACAAAAGACCAAACAAATGCTCAGTGTGGCATTCCCAGATGATGACTCACTCTAACCCCTCTGCACAGCCCCCTGACACTGGGCACTGGGATGGGGGGAGAACCCCCCCACTCCTGACTTTGTGTATGTAGATTCCTCTGGAAGCCTTCCTTATTCTGACAAACTCCAGGTCCACCAGCAAGCCTTCCCCAGGTTTGTGTAATCTGTCACTGAGCAATGCTGAGGCACACAGATGTCCCTTCAGTGTTCTTCAGTTCAAGGGACCTCCTGGCAGTCAAACTAATCATCTTCCTTGAGGCAGAAGAGCCACGGGCCCAATACTTTGCCTCTCCTGTGGCCAGCTTCCCTCCCAGATGTTGGGCAGCAACCCACTGTGACAGCCCTCCCTGTGGGCCCTCTCCCATTGAAAAGGCAGGAAGTCCCCAAGGAAGGAGGCTGGGGTGCCTATCATGTAAGCTCTGGAGGTGGAGACCAGGGGGGCCATCCCTAGCCCCACATTTGTCATCTCTGAGTCAGGCAAGCTCCTTGCTTCTGTAAGTCCCTGCTTTGTCATCTCCACAGAGATAAAGAGCACCTAGCTCTCAGTGTAAGTCCCTGCTTTGTCATCTCCACAGAGATAAAGAGCACCTAGCTCTCAGTGTAAGTCCCTGCTTTGTCATCTCCAGAGATAAAGAGCACCTAGCTCTCAGGTGGTATGCTGGTTATCCTTGGTTGCCAACTTTACATCTGGAATTAACCAAAATCCAAGCAACTGGGCAGTCCTCTGAGGGCTTTTTAAAAATCAGATTACTTGAAGCAGGAAGGCACATCCTAAACCTTGGCCACGCCTTCTGGTGGCAGCCCACATAAAAGGACTTGGAAAAGGACGTTCGTTCTGCTTTTTGCCTGCTTGCCCTCACTGTAGCTGGCAAGTTCATCCATCCTGCTGTGCAGGCATTCCTTCATCGATATTAGAACTACTTCTTTGGAATTTCAACCTTGACTGAAGGCCAGCTGAGGTATCCAGGCCTGTGCATTGAACAACTATTAGATTCTTAGGAGACAGCCATTTTGACTAGCTGGGCCACAGTCTGTAAGCCACGCCAGTAAATCCTTGTTTAGTATCTATAGATTCACTCTATCAGCAATGTTCCTCTAGAGAACCCTAAGACGGGAGAAGTGGTGCTTGCTCTCCAAATGATGGCCGGTACTCCACACCCCGGTGTGCTTATGTCCTGGCACATTTTATCCACGTCCCCAGTAGCAAGGTAGGAAAGTTCGCTGAATCCAGTGCACAAAGTGGGCAGAGGAAGCACCAAGGCAGACTGCCATCTGTGCCACCCCCGGCCCCCCAGGGCTCAGTACTCTTCACTCTCCAGGAATGGGAGAGAATCAGGAGCAAGGGAGGCTACAGACGTGGGGTGCACCAGCTCCTGCCAAGGGTGTCCACCAGCACAATGACGACGACGATGATGACATCACACAATGGTGATGACAGCAGCCACAAGGGAATATGGAGCAGGGAGGGCATCGTCTTGGCCTCTCCTCTGCTGGTTCTACAACCCCAGTACACGTAGACAGGACCCTGACCGTTTCAGCTTCTTCTACATGCCAGGCAAATGCAGAGCTGTGGGCTCTGCTGTCACACCCTGAGAGGCATGAGTTGTTGCCCTGGTTACACGTAAACCCAAGACGAGAAGAGTAGAGCTCACAGGCAGTGCCTCCTCTCTGCCTCCACGGCCCTGCACTGTAAGCCAGGCAGGCTTGTCTCTCACTGCTGTGGGTGAGGCTCAGTCTCTGGGCAGCCTCGATTTAGAGTCACAGTGACCCCAGTCACACTCTGGAACCTGAAACTTCACCTTGTCTCAGCCTCTCTCTCAACTGGTACTCAGGTTTCACAGTACATAATCCTCCCAACTGCACGCGGCAGGCCTGAAATCACCGAGTATTCAAAGCTGTGGATCCACCCTTTCAACTCCGGAGTACAGGCCCCCTCCCCTCCACAGCACTTGGGGTGTCCCAATGTTAAACCAACCACCTTAACTGAACCAAATGCCCCTCTGGTTCCTGCTCCAGTGTGAGGCCAACCTTGCTAGTGGACAGCATTTGTGGACCCACTCATTTCCTGATCTTGTGGGTGCTAGCTGTGAGAGCGAACATGTTTGAATTCTAAACGACTGTGCCCAAGAGATCTGGAAAACAAAACCGCCTCTAACCGTGAGCCCCACTTGCCCAAGGACAGGTTACACATTGTCACTTCAGGACACAAGCTTGGTTGCCCCAACTGCACAGGATGGGCTTGATAGCACATAGGCAGGAGGTACATCAGGATGTTTGCTTGCTCCTGATTGGACAAACGAGGGCGTACACAGCCTTTTGTAGGTTTTGTCTTATAAACAAAAAAATGTAATTCTGCAACACACCCTACAAATCCTGAGTATGGACCCAGCCATATTTAATGAAGCTTGCCTCAAATTTGGCTCAAAAAAATTGTGGTGCTGATCTCATTCTCTCCCGGTGGCTTCCTCCCAGATCACTTCCCAACCCTCGCTCAGCACACATCCTGCATTGTGGCTGGAAATCTGCCTCTAGCCATGGGAATACTCCACGGACTCTGCAATTTCTCCTCGGTTTCTCCCGCCTCAGGAACACGGCTCCCTCAGACCCATGTCTGCAGGGTCAGAAGTGTAGGAAGCCATGTCTGCAGGGTCAGAAGTGTAGGGACCCATGTCTGCAGGGTCAGAAGTATAGGGACCCATGTCTGCAGGGTCAGAAGTGTAGGGACCCATGTCTGCAGGGTCAGAAGTATAGGGACCCATGTCTGCAGGGTCAGAAGTGTAGCACCCATGTCTGCAGGGTCAGAAGTGTAGGGACCCATGTCTGCAGGGTCAGAAGTGTAGGGACCCATGTCTGCAGGGTCAGAAGTGTAGGAAGCCATGTCTGCAGGGTCAGAAGTGTAGGGACCCATGTCTGCAGGGTCAGAAGTATAGGGACCCATGTCTGCAGGGTCAGAAGTGTAGGGACCCATGTCTGCAGGGTCAGAAGTGTAGGGACCCATGTCTGCAGGGTCAGAAGTGTAGGAAGCCATGTCTGCAGGGTCAGAAGTGTAGGGACCCATGTCTGCAGGGTCAGAAGTATAGGGACCCATGTCTGCAGGGTCAGAAGTGTAGGGACCCATGTCTGCAGGGTCAGAAGTGTAGGGACCCATGTCTGCAGGGTCAGAAGTGTAGGGACCCATGTCTGCAGGGTCAGAAGTGTAGAACCCATGTCTGCAGGGTCAGAAGTGTAGCACCCATATCTGCAGAGTCAGAAGTGTAGCACCCATGTCTGCAGGGTCAGAAGTGTAGAACCCATGTCTGCAGGGTCAGAAGTGTAGAACCCATGTCTGCAGGGTCAGAAGTGTAGGGACCCATATCTGCAGGGTCAGAAGTGTAGAACCCATGTCTGCAGGGTCAGAAGTGTAGAACCCATGTCTGCAGGGTCAGAAGTGTAGCACCCATGTCTGCAGGGTCAGAAGTGTAGAACCCATGTCTGCAGGGTCAGAAGTGTAGCACCCATGTCTGCAGGGTCAGAAGTGTAGGGACCCATGTCTGCAGAGTCAGAAGTGTAGAACCCATGTCTGCAGGGTCAGAAGTGTAGAACCCATGTCTGCAGGGTCAGAAGTGTAGCACCCATGTCTGCAGGGTCAGAAGTGTAGAACCCATGTCTGCAGAGTCAGAAGTGTAGAACCCATGTCTGCAGGGTCAGAAGTGTAGAACCCATGTCTGCAGGGTCAGAAGTATAGGAACCCATGTCTGCAGGGTCAGAAGTGTAGAACCCATGTCTGCAGGGTCAGAAGTGTAGAACCCATGTCTGCAGGGTCAGAAGTGTAGCACCCATGTCTGCAGGGTCAGAAGTGTAGCACCCATGTCTGCAGGGTCAGAAGTGTAGCACCCATGTCTGCAGGGTCAGAAGTGTAGCACCCATGTCTGCAGGGTCAGAAGTGTAGAATCCATGTCTTTGGCTTTTCTGCCCACCTGCACCTGCCACCAGCTCACATATCCCCAACCCAACGCCTTGTCAGTGTATAACCAGGCATCGTCTTTTGCACGCCCCCTGCCCATCCCAGTCAACCAAAGGTGACAAACCAGTGGTTCACAAAACATCTTGTTTGGCCTGTCATACCTTTTCAAAGTTTTACTTAGCTGCTACCATTTAAAAATGAGAAAATTCTGCATAAGAGTCGAGCATTCTAGTTTTTTGAAAAGTGAGACCTGATGACACAAGCTCTCCACTGCATCCGGGGGTGCTCCCTTGCCCGGGGCTCATGTTCTGCCTTCTGAAGTTCTAAGCCTCCTAATAGCAACTGCCATACACATGGACCACTTGACTTATGACTACATCTTTGCATGAGGCTGTTCTTCCAAAGGAGCAGAAGGCTGTCCTAGCCCATCTCTCCTTTGCCCTGGGCCTCAGTGTGGGCGGGCGGAAGAGCAGGGTGAGCAGGAAGGCAGAGAGGAGAATCCCAGTCAAGAGCCACGCCTCCAGCCTCTCTGACAATTTTCCAGCAGCATCCCAGGAACTCCCTGTGACCTGTCCTGAGCCTGGCCCAGGCTGCTGCGGACATGGAGCTGGCCCAGGTGGCTGTAGACACGGAGCTGGCTCAGGTTGCTACGGACATGGAGCTGGCTGGCTGTCCCTTCAGGCCATTCTGTATCCTCTTGAGCTGGGCCTGAGGCCTGAGGTTTCCTGAGCTTGAGCGGCATTGAGGTCTGGAAGCACAGGCTTCCTTACTGTTTAGCCAACTCAGCCAAATACACACCATGGGGTGGCTGCCATGTCACAGTCCAACATGATATTGAGGACAGTGCAGGGGGCCCCTCCTACAGACAGCGCTGTGCGGGAATCCACCCGGTACTTCACAGTGTTCAGACCTCCCTCCCGGTCCACCTTGAATTGTTCCTGGGAAGAAGAGAGGGAAAGAGCATGAAGTCACACTCCATGTGCCAGCTGTCACCCATCTCCATTAAGGGAGAAGAGCCCAAAGCTGCCATCTTTCTCATGCCTGCACCGCACCCCATCAGCAAGGGAAATTCAGACTCCAAGAAAGGGATTGTGGCTTGTTTGGTTAAGCACCCCCCCAAGGATCAGGTCTGGGCTGATCCACAGTGCCCAGATGCACACTGTAGCCACAGAGCAGGGCAAGGGGCCTGTGGAGAATGCCCATCAGCTGACCTGACCCAACAATGAGAGGATGGCACTATTATTTGGGCCAAAGGGGAACTTGGCGAAATGATGAGACCTATTGGTCCCTACCTCTCCCTCACCACTGAGGAAACCAGCCACACCTGTTTTTGAGCTGCGATGCGTTTCTGGTCCCTCTTCCGCCAGGCTGGGTCATGCAAGTGGCGAAATGTCTGGTACCCAGTTGTGATTCCTGAGGGGCGGAAAAGCTACGGAAAACAAAGGAAGTGGGGTCAGGCTGCCTCTCTCCTCATGTTGGCCCTTACCACTAACTCTCTGGGACCCCACGGGCTGCCATCGGCAGGGACTCTGACAGCCATCCTGAAGGACAGGAGACTCTGGCAGAGAGCACAGGACTGGTTAGAGGAGCCCTAAAGGTTAGGGTGAAGGCGGGGATCAGAACCAGGGAGACCAACTATAGACTCCAGGACTCAGCAAGTAAAGGGCCTCAGGACAGCCATGTAGCCCAGGGCCAGGCAGAGCCATGGGAGGAGCCTTACCTGGAGGCCAGCTCCCTTGATGCGGCGGTAGAATTCATCATCCTCTCGGCCCCAGCCCCAGAAGCGGTTGGACATCCCGTTGCACTGACACAAAGACAGGCAGTGTCTGTCACATGCCCCTCCTCCCAGGATGCACTTTAGTCTCTCACTGCTCAGGAGAGCCGAGCCTGAGCCCAGCCAGCCAGGCTCCCCTTTCTTCTGTCTGCCCTGACTGTTCTGAGTGACACAGGGTGCTGGCAGGTCCCTTCACTCTGCAATGGGGACGTGGGGGCAGAAGGAGAGGGTCAGCACACCTTAGGACCTCCCGCTTCTAACAGGGCCTTGAACTTATAGTGACAAAAGTCTCCAGTGCTGGCTCCCTTCAGGGGGCAAAAATGCCAAGCGCTACTGCTTCTGTCCTCCTCTCCTATCCAGTCTCCTGAGGTGGCTCGGCCCAGGCTTTTTCCTGTGTGTTTGAGGGACAACCCTGATTAGCGTCTGCTCAGGGCTGCAGCCATGGAGGACAGAGAACAGTCACTCGGATCTCCTCATGCCTCTGTGCCTCTGGGTCCCATCAAGAACCGGTATGCTTTAGTCTGGGACTTCTGTCTAGACTTCTGGGGAGGGAGGGGCTCCAGCTCCCGCCGGTCAGGCCACATTTACAGCTGTGCAGCCTTCTCACATGAGAGAAATGTGCAGAAAGCAGTGCTGAGGCCTGGTGACGCTGCTGAGAGGGAGAGACAGCAGCCACCACATCTCCAGCTCTCCGTGGCCAGCTGGCATGGGGGCTTCTGGGGCCACGGCACAGCCCTTCCTAGCTAATGCGCTCCCTCCTGGTCCTCTCTCACGTCTCTGGCCGCTGCTGAGTCCCTGTCAGGCTCAGGCAACACTCCATCTGCTGGGCCCCGGGAAGGCCGCTCTACCCCCACAGCTGCCAGAGCCCTGGTGGGAAAGATCCCCAGCAAACGAGAAGAGCAGGCAGGGCTGGGCCTCACCAGCTGGTAGTGCTGCCTGGAGAGCAGCAGGATGCCGCCCACGTAGGTCTTGTAGTGGTAGAGAGGGTGGAGCTCTGGGGAGGCCACATGGAAGGGCCCAGCCTCTGGGAAGCCATAGTCCAGCTCCTCATTGAGAGGCAGCAGATCCACGTCGTGCATGGCAATGTAGTCTGTGCTGTTGCTGCTCTCCAGGAAGCCCACATTGATGAGTGCTGCTCGATTGAACCTACGCAAGACAGGTAAACAATACTAGGCAGAGGAAGCGAGCTTGTCATCAACCCTTGCTGTGCGTGAGAGTCTCTTCTCTGTCACCACCCAACACTGACATCACTGTAGGGGCACTGTCCTCTCTGCTCGCTATACAAGTGTTTACGGAGCACCAGAAACTTCAAAACCACACTGGAAGAAACAGCATTGAGAAACAAATCCCTGTTCTCAAGGAACTTCCAACAGGAAGAAGCAAGCCAAAGAGGGCGGAAGGAAACTGGCGGGGGAGGTGGCAGCTATTCTGCACAGGGCTTTCAGGACAGCCAGGGTGCAGGGCGGCGGTGTCTAAGCTGGAACCTGAAAGCCTGAGGAATGATTATATGGGAGCTGGGGACAGGGCTCCACACAGGGAAGAGTAACTGCCAAAGCCAGCAATAGCAGACACCAGGAGGCTCTGGTCAGGGCACGGGGAAGAGACTGGGGGTGGGGCAGACACTGACAGGCCAGAGGTGATGGCGGCCTGGCTCAGGCGGGCAGCTGCGTGCGGGATTGGTGAGACGTGGACGGGCTCTGGACGTGATTTGCTGAAGGCCAGATGCTATGACAGACAAAGAGAGGTAAGTAGTTCACTTCCTGAAATGGGGAAGAGGGGACAGAAGGCAGGTCTGAGGAAGTAGCAATCAGGAATTCACTATGGCCCTGTTAGGCTCAGGCTGCCGCTGGGACCACCAGACGGAGCCATCACAAGGGACACAGAATATGCAAGCTGGGGGTTCAGGAAAGAGGCCTGGAAGTTCAGACTAGGGTTCTCAGTGATCTGATACCAGGAGATGCGAGTCTCTGGGGAAGACTGCACTGAGGAGAGGGAACAACGCTGAGATCAGAGAGACAGAGAGTAGGAGAAATGAACTGAGCAGGGACGGCCATTGAATGGAGAAAACAGGAAGTCAGGCAGAGGCATTAGAAAGAAGAAGATCTGTTTAATAGAAGCCGCTGATGAGACAGGATGAGGACCTGGGATTATGGAAGTCACCTGTGGCCTCAGTGAGGGCTGTTGCAGATCATAAAAGATGTCTGCTAAAACAGTCTCAAGACAATCCCAACACTCAGGGGGCAGAGGCAGGTGGATCTCGGTGTTCGAGGTCAGCCTGGACTAGAGGGCGTGTTTTCCAGGACAGCCAGGGCTACAGAGAAACCCTGTCTTGGGGGGGGAGAGGGAGGGAGAGAGAGAGAGAGAGGGTGGAAGGGAGGGAAAGAGAGAGGGAGGGAGGGAGAGAGGGAGGGAGGGAGAGAGAGAGAGGGTGGAAGGGAGGGAAAGAGAGAGGGAGGGAGGGAGAGAGGGAGGGAGGGAGGGAGAGAGAGAGAGGGTGGAAGGGAGGGAAAGAGAGAGGGAGGGAGGGAGAGAGAGAGAGAGAGCCTTGAAGAAATAGGCAGACTAAAGAAGCAGGGTGAGAGCAATGGAGTATCAGCAGAGAAGTCTTTTTCTCTCTCCCTCTCCCTCCTCCCCTAGACAGGGTCTAACCACGCAGCCCTGGCTGTCCTGGAACTTGACACGTAGTTGGCTTTACACTCACAGAGACACCAGCCTCTGACTCCCCAGCGCTGGGATTAAGGGAGTGCACCACCATTCCTTGCCTATGTGCGCGCGTGTGAGCGTGTGTGCGTCACACATGGGAGTCAAGGGCGTCTTGTGAGAGTCAGACCTCTCCTTCCAGCAGGTGGGTTTGCCAGGCTCGGTGGCAAGCCCCTTGCCTTCCCGCTCCTTTCTCTTTGAGGAGTGGTAGGTATGCATGACGTGAATCAATGAGAGGAAGAGCAGACCATGCAGAAGAGGCCCCACGGCTCCAGCACGAGAGGCCCCAGTGGGAGAGACAGAGACAGGCCAGTCCTTGCTGGGACTGAGGAAAGCGCTCCTCCAGTGACTCTGCATCACTGCTTCTTATACAACTCACTCCACTTACAGTGATCTTTCTAGAGAAGACAGCAGATCGGGGCCCACCCAGAGAGAGGGGCCTATATCTCCTCCCGGTAGCCCCCCACAGGCCCCAGCCCGCTGAGCAGCAGGAACAAGGAGAGGCCGTGGGAGCAGAGGCGGGGTGGGGCTGGCCCTCACCTGAAGTGGTCCACCTGGTTGAGCACGTAGATGCGGTGCCGGATCTTCTTCTTGCTCAGGAAGCGGTGCATGTGGGGCACAAAGACCAGCAGCTCCTCAAAGCGCTCCCGGAAGGGCACCAGCACCGCCAGGCGGTGAGGCCCCCAGGATGCATCTTCCTCCCAGTGCTCAGGGGGTGGCTCTGGAGGGCAAGCCCGAGGTGGGCCCGAGGTCTCCTGCCCTTGTCCCCTGGTCACCTGGGCCATATCTCCAGAGCAGCTGAGCTGCAGCCAGAGCAGGGAGAAGAAGACCAACAGAAGAAAGGCAATGAAGAGGTGGAAGATGGAGCACTTCCGGCGCAGGCCTCCGGGAAGCAACCTGGCCCTGGGAGAAGAGCAAGAAGGAGGTCAGGACAGGCCAGCTGAGACCTTCCAAGACCATTCCTCTGGCCTCTTCCTCTAGATCCAAACACTGGCCTTCCCTGAATACCTGGGGATTAGTGCAGAAGCAATGTTTAATGTTTTTGCTCATGCTACTACCATACACAATCAGCCCATCCATCTCTGTAGGTCCAGCCTGTGCTACCCCCGGGACACTCTCAGACCACTCAACTCTGAAGGTCCAGCCTGTGCTACCCCCGGGACACTGTCAGACCACTCAACTCTGAAGGTCCAGCCTGTGCTACCCCCGGGACACTCTCAGACCACTCAACTCTGTAGGTCCAGCCTGTGCTACCCCTAGGGCACTCTCAGACCACTTATAGCTGACAGGGCTACCCCAGTTCCTCAGTATTTTTTTCTCATTCTGAGGAACTCCTCATCAGAGTGCTCAGGGAGAAGGGCAGGCTTATTGTGTCATTTGCTTCCCCCTAGGACAGTGTCTTGAGGTCCTTAGCCAATGGCAGGGGTTCCAGTTTGGAAAGATATAAACCACTGATTTCTAAACTCCCTCCCTAGCAAATTCATCCCAGAGAAAATGTAATTTTGTAGTGCTGCAAGGGTGCCCAGAAAGCTCCCCGAGGGGTGTATGCTGACATAAGCCCCGGGCAAAATGGCCAACAGTTAGTCTAGGAAGTTCTCAGTGTAAGGGCCAAAGGGACAGTGTCAGATCACTGGGTAGGTCACAAGACAAGGGATAAAGGAAGGCAGAAAGGACAGAGCTGGGTTCAGCACCTATAGGGTTCAGCACCTATATCCTGCATGTAAGAAACTGGACAAACAGCTAAATATCCCAGACACAGGGGTGATGCTGAGAAACTGTCCTTTGGTTTAACAATTACAACAAAACAGGTGGAAAGCCTTGCCTTTCGTGGTGGCCATGGTGGATTTCCAGCTCAAGGCCAAGCTGGGCTCCACAGTGACACTGTCTCAAAAACAGACGAAACAAAGAAGCAAAAAGAACCAGTGGAACTCTATGCCCTCCTGGAGGTTCCTGAGGGTGCCAGGAAAGGGTCTGAGAAACCTAAGAAGGAAGTTCCCTCTATGGTTGCTCCTGCCTCCCTGCCTAAGCAATCAGTAAAGAAATCGACTTTATAGCCTCAGAGTCAGGAACTGCTCATCAGGTCTTTTTTTTCCAGGGGGACGGAGTTAGGGGTGGGAGTTGGGAAGAGGCTGGGTTGAGACCAGGTTTCTATGTAGCCCTGGATGTCCTAGAAATCACTCTGTAGACCAGGCTGGCCTCAAACTTACAGAGATCCGCCTGCCTCTGCCTTCTGAGTGCTGGGATTAAAGGCGTGCGCCACCACCACTGCCTGGCTGGTTATCGGGTCTTGTAGACTCTATCACCTAAATTCTCCTGTGATCGTCGTCTCGACTACTGGTCCTGGCCCCGCTTTTCACTTTCAATCTCATGGCTCTTTTGCCTCTGCTTACAAGATAAAAGCTGGAGTCCTGGTCTGGCAGTCAGACTCCACTGACAAAGTCCTCTGTGGTTTTGTCAAATCTCCATTTCCTCATAATCATTCGCTCTCGTACTGAGTAACACCGGGACTTTGCACTGGCCGTACTCCTACGTGATGCAGCCCTCCCTCACCCCACCTGTTTCTCCCACTGGACACTCCCTCGTTTTAACTGCTTAGCGGCTTTCCACCAATCTTTCCAGGCCAAAGATGCATGCCATGGCCGTCACGGCCCCTGCCAAGTTCCCAAGTTCCCTGCTTTGAGTTCCCAGGGCACCTGGCATTTCCCTCTTTGCATCACTTATGTGTGATGAGCTGTATGACCCTACTTTCAGAACATGTTGTGTTCTTATCTGTGGCCTCAGGCCCAGTCAGACAGCAAAGAGCTTGCCAAGTGGGTTAAGGGAAGGGTTGGAGCAGTCCAAGCATGCTTTAAGTCCACTGGGGCCACACCCAAGCCTACCTTTCTCTCTAAAGACACAGCTGCAAATCTGGGAGCCAGCAGCGCCCAAGCCAGGCCCAGGCCTCACATGCAGCTTCGGGGTTGCCCAGTAGGACCACCCTCGTGGCTTTCAGACTTACCCCCCATCATCTTGTGGTGATGGTTTCCACTGTGGAGCAGTAGAGCTCAAACCTGCAAGTGGCCCGACAGGCCTGGAACCTTTACAGATTCTTTCTTGTACTCTGGGCTCTTTCTGGGAGCGGGGTTGACACTTAGATGATGAACACTGGGCAATAGACCTCCTTTGGGGGGTTAAGCAATGACCATTATCCACGGACTCAGCAGCCCACCCACTTTCTCCTGATGTTGCTTTCCCTCTCCCTTTCGAGGACCATAGTGCCCAAAGGCACTCTCAGTCTTTGCTCCAAAGGCCACAACCACTGAGGGTCCCAATTCTATCGATAAAGCTGATGAAAGTGGACTTTGAGAACTGATATTGTTTATGCCACCTGGTGACAGTCCCCAGAACTGCAGTCCTGAGTGCTTCCACACCCAGGTTCTCAGGGGAGCTTTAAAAAAGGGTTGGTCTCCTTTATCAACCAAAGCCTAGGGCTAACTAGAGGTGCTTGGAACCCAACCAAGCTTGTTCTATAGCCATTATCCAACTACTACAGTACTTAGTGGTTGTTGCATGGATCTTTGTCACTGTGTCAAAAGCACAGAATGGACATCAATCTATCTTTCTGAAAACACAGTAAGAGAAAATGATCGGAAGATGGCAATTCTCCTCTATTCCCTCCATATATGATCTTCATTAATCTTCAAAGAGCCCTTCCAAGTAGATAATATGAATCCTCATTTCAGAGATGGAAAAACAAGGTCAGAAAAATTAAGTGGTAGCTGGGCGTTGGTGGCACACGCCTTTAAAATCCAGCACTCGGGAGGCAGAGGCAGAAGGCTCTCTGAGTTTGATTGAGGTCAGCCTGGTCTACAGAATGAGCTCTAGGATAGGCTCCAAAGCCACACAGAGATATTCTGTCTGGAAAAACCAAAAAGAAAAAAAATAAGCAGTATGTTTCTGGTCATCATTGATCATGTTTCTATTATATTACTGTCACATTTTAACACCACATCTGAAAAAAAATTGTGCCCACTAAACTCGAGTCTTATGACACCTACTAAATGTGTCACTTATTAAGTGAACATCCACTAAGGTGTGTTTTGGGGAAGTGGGACGGGGGAGGGGCGCATATTTCAAGCCTTAAGTATAATGCCCCCATAAATCTAGGCAGGGAAATCACCTCCCCCAGTCTGCTTCGGTGAGAAATACCTTAAACTCAGATCGGGCCAGGCTCACACCTAACATTCGAGGCGGACCCACGAAAGTATAACAGCACAGGAAATGAACTAATGGGTGTGTCTACTATAAGCCAGGCAACGGCTAACCCTCAAGGCAGAGAACATAGGAAGCTTCTGTCTGGTGTGATCTTCCGGGCCAACCGCAAAGTATGAAGAGGCATGAAGGAAGAGGGTAGGATCTTTAGTCACGTGGGTGTGATGGTGCAGACAGAAAAATAAAGACCCACCGTGCCACAGCATAGAGAGATCCCCTGTAAGAAGTGAACACAATCAGTGTCCCGCAAGAAAACAGAGAAAGACACACGGGGGAAAAGGAACTTAAGACAGAGGGACAAACACAGAGAGAGATCAATGTAGACAGGAAGACACAGGGACCGTGACCAACACACGGGGACCGAGAGACACGTGAGGAATGGAAGCTGGTAGTAAAAGAGTAAAAAAAGTAACCAATGCCAATGACCCCTCCCCAAGAACCGCAGACCCTCAGGTGACCCCCAGAAATGCAGACGCGACGGCGTCAGGCTCCCAGAGGAAGAGAATGGCACGCAAGAGAACGCGGCCCCGGCTGGTCGCCGTCGCTCACCTGCCGTCCTCCCAGGGCAGCTGCGCCGCTTTCCTCCGGGAGGGCAACATCGTGGGAAGACACGGCTGGACATGGAGCTCCAGCTCCCAGCCCGGCGCCCGCCTGCCCGGCCTGCCCGGCCTACGCGGCGTCTCCGCCTCCGCCCCGCCCCCAGGTCCGTTGGGTCCGTCCCTCCGGCCTGGCCGGCTGCAACCCAGCGCCGCCGCCTGGAAGGTTCCGCTGCCTGGAGAAACGCCTGTGGGACCCAGCTTCATACTGTCTGCAGGGACCCGCGGGATGTCACACAAGAGGCAGCTCCCTCCCCTCACCCAGGTGGAAGGCTGAGCACCGCTGGAACTAGACGTGCACTCCGGAACAGCACGTCTGGGATTAGGTACATCTTCCTCCTTTTCCCCAAGAGAAGGCTGGCAGCATCGCGTTTATTTTTTTTATTTTTATTTTATTTTGTCAGCCCAGCAGGCTAAGTACATAAACTTGGAGCAGTAGATCCAGTTCAGGATGCAGGGCTGGGGTCAGTAGACTCACTAAATAGTAGTTAGTAGCTGAGCTCTGAAGACTGACTGAGTGCGACTGAAACCCTGCTCTAGGATTCAACTATGTTCTGAGGAGAATCATTTTTCTGCGACTGTTTCACCACTTGGGTATATACATTGTTCTCATTCTGTATTGGTCATTGTAGAAAATGTAAACCGATTTGCAGCAGTGCTTGGCACAGTCACCACTGTATAAATGCTGCCGTCTAGTATCTGAAGAGAACTGAAGCAATGAATAGGAGACCAACCTCCCTCCAGTCTGTGTGCATCTATCCTATCCACCTACCCTCACCCATTGCCAGCTCCCCCCAGGAAAGGAGAGGCAGTTACTGAACTTGATCTCTGCTCTTCTTTCAGGCAAAATATTCTAATAAATACCCAATATCTATTAGGTCCTACTTCGTGGCACTCATTATTCTAAATCTTGTAGTACTGTCCTCTTTTATTCCGTCCATGTGACAGGCATTACTTCCGCTGTGAAGATGAGAGCCTGTGGCACAGGCAGACCAAGTTTGTGCCCACAATCTTCTCTCATGCACAGTCTAGTCTCAAGCTGTTTCCAGACAGATCCCCACTTCTGGTGAGAAGTTATTGTCTTCAACTCTTGCTTTCCCCTCTTAAACCCTGACACAGAAAACACAACCCTTTCCCACCCTGTGGCTCTCTTGGGTCTCTGCATCCTACACCAGAAACTTAGCAAGTCAGTTCTAGATGTGGCAGATCAAAAGCAGGACTGACTTCCTGAGGCCAGTCAGGTAGGGCCAATGATGACAGTGATGTGGGCCATGTGACCTGTCCCTGTAGTCTTAGGTCTCAACCGACACTAAGTTTTACATAAAAACCCAAATTAATTAATTTTCCCTAAGTTTTCCAAGACAGGGTTTCTCTGTGTAGCCCTGGTTGTCCTGGAACTCACTCTGTAGACCAGGATGTGCTCAAACTCACCTGCTTCTGCCTCCCTAGTGCTAAGATCAAAGGCGTGCACCACTACCACCTGGCTCTTTTATTTTAATTTTTTGTTTTTCAAGACAGTTTCTATGTAGCCCTGGCTGTCTTGGAACTTACTCTGTAGATGAGGCTGGCCTTGAATTCAAAAGGCATGTGCCACCACCACCCCACAAGTCCATGTATTGTCATATCTGCCAAGAGTTAACTATACACAGGACAAGTCTTTTTTTTTTTTTTTTTTAATTGGGAAACCAATGTAACAAATCCAAACTCACTGAAAATAAACTCAGTAACTAAGACTGCAGGCTTTGTCTCCAACCAGCACCAAAGTCTCTGCTTGGCCTGTTACCAGCTGCTCAAGCCCCAGAAAGAACAACTGTAAGAAACCCAACCTCTGGCATCCTTTCCCGAACTGCAACCCCTCCACCCACCCTTAAATCCACACACATACACCCCAGATCAGCAGGCTGGTTCTAAGCCAAAGGCAAAAAAAAGCAAGGTTCTTGAAATAGCAAGGAGTCACTGATTCTTGAAATAGCAAGGAGTCACTGATTCTTGGAATAGCAAGGAGTCGCTGACACACCCTGACCTGCTCAAAGTCCCACATTAATAAAGGAAGACAGAAGGAAAATCAGCTTGCTCGCCCACCCACTTCCCTCCCGAATCCCACCCCGGACAGCAGCCCCACATCCCTGATCAGTAACACTGAGACTCTAAGACACCAGGTCCTGAGTGATTACTGCAAAAGATCCAGAGGTGGGGGTGGAGAGGGCCTGTCCCACCACCCGCTCAGCACTAGCCAGCTGAGCTGCTGTTCTCAGTTTGAGCCTGGGGAGCGGGGGCAATGCTTGCAGTCCCTCTCCCCTCCAGAGCATCTATGGCTGAAAACCAATCCTCCCAGAGAGGAACCAGTTTCAGGAGGTCCTTTTCCCACAGCCTGGAAGAAAGATTGCCTCTGAGGCTTGGGACAGCTACACCAGCTTCTTGGCTTCAAAAAAACTCTTGAGGTGCCGCATCTGCCACACACCAATGGCCACAAGGATGAGTGTTTGCAGGATGGACCACCACAACACTCGCTGGTTGGTGCTCTCACTGGTTTGCCGGAAGCGCTCCTCCCGCCACTGTGGGGGAAATGAATGGCATGTCTTAGTACAGGACTGCTAGACCCGATGATGGGTTCCCAGCTTGCAAGGATGTCCCCAGGACCCCCGCTCTGCCCACCTTCCAGCCAAATGCCTATGGGGACTACCTTCATCAACAGTCAGCTGACTGCCGGCAGACTAAGCATTTCTCCTAAGACTGTCTGTTGTCTGTCAGGTACAGTCCTCACTTGACCCTTCCTGACACCTAGAGAAGAAGTAAGGTGGTGGTGACCACCCCGAGGGAGAGGTGTCCTGAGGTGCTCAGTATGGACTTCCGTCCAGGTCTCTCAATCTGCTCCTTCAAGATCCTATGTGTCATATATTCAGACTGCAAAGTGGTGACTGAATACCTTTTGTTTGACTCACACAGAAGGTTTCGTTTATGGGGGTGGGGGTGGGGGTGGGGGGCTTGTATTATGTTTTCCTTCAGGATGTGGTCTCCCTGTGTATCAGGCTGGTCTGGAACTTGCTATATAGACCAGACTGGCCTCAGACTGCCATTGATCCATCAGCCTCTGTCTCTGGAACGCTGAGATTAGAGGTGTGTGGTACCTTGCCTATCAACACTTAAAAATTAGGGAAATTTAACAAAACTCTGGATCTTGGCCTTTAATCCCAGTACTTGGGAGGCAGAGGCAGGTGGATCTCTGTGTGTTTCAGGCCAACCTGGTCTACAGAGTGAGTTCCAGGATAGACAGGGCTACATAGAGGAACCCTGTCTCAAAAAATCAAAACAAACACAAGCCCTGAACCTTTATCTCCTATTGGGGGAGGGGAGGGCTTAAAAACTCAGGCTTGCATTTTCTGCTAGGAGGCCCTGGCAGACACTGTACCATTTTCCCCATTTAGACAGGTCACTGGCTCACAATTCCTTAAGGCGATGGATTCATTCGTGGAACCCTTCTGGTTCCTAGTCACGAATAACTTAGAGGCTCTTGGTTCTGGCAGCACCTAGACCATTTAAAACAGCCCCTAAGGTGCTGGTACTAATTGCCACACCGTTCCTCTGCCTGGGACTGTGTGGCTGTGTTACAGATGGACCCTGAGCACCCACTCACCTTCTAAACCTGCACTCTGTCATAGCTAAGGCCCTGCCTGGCACGCACTCACCCGCTGGTAGTTCTGCTCCTTCTGGATCTGCTCCACCTGCTCCACCAGCTGCCGTACTCTGAGCTGCAGCTCGCTCAGCTTGTCTTTGGCGGCGATCTCTGCGTAGTCGTTCGCATGCTCTCCTACTTGGATGTCAAGGTGAACTCTCTGGGGATGCGAAGGTTAAGAGGGTCGGTCAGGCAGCCCTGCTGCCCTTGAATGCCTGACTGGCAGCTGATTCTTCCACTTTCCTTCATTTTCTCATTCGGCTCACAGGCCGAGACCCCACTCACAGCTCTGGGCATGCAGCAAAAAACAGTAAGTTTGGGTTCGTGCTCTGACTAACACACACACGGTTTGTTCTCTGTAACTGTGGCCTCTGCAGGTCAGAAGTGCTTCAGAAAGCAAGAACACAGATTCAAAATACATTCGTACCAGGAATGGTGACTACTCTGGACTCTGGTCCTTCTCTAAATCAATTCAGACACACACACACACACACACACACACCAGAAACATAGCATTAGGAATTATAAGTAATCCAGAGACGATAAAGTATATGGCAGGGTATGCATGCATTGTATTAAAACACACTATCAGGGTCCTAAGGAATGGCTATACAAATTGATCCGTCACTGTGTCCTGTTATGTGCACTGGAAATCCAATGGCTTTAAAAGGCACAAAACCCAATGCCCGTCCCCCACCCACGCACAGTACCAATGGCCTCTGTCTTGACCAAGGCTTTAGTCCCACACGGACCCACTTACCAGCATGCCTCCAGCAAAGAGGGAGAACTTGGTGGAATTGGAGTGAAGGCAGATCTGGTGTTCACCAGGGGTATGGGAGGTGAACGTGAACCTGCCCTCAGAGCCATACTGCCGGGCCAGGATGACCTGGAGACAGGGAGGAGTGTCAGTCAATGATGCTGTAGGGAGGCCGGAAAAGAACGTCATAAAGATTCCAAGTGCCACCAGAGATGGCAAGGAGAGCCCCGGACGAGATTCAAAGTTACTCAGCCGCAGTTACCAGCAGGGTTGGAGGGTCTGGCATCAGGCTAGCAAGTGACTGCACCCAGGAAGGACTTCCCTCATGTTTAGCTCTTCCCGTGTCTTGTTGTTTTGGAGACAGAGTCTCATCATGCACCTCTGGCTGGCCAAGAACTAGATGGCCTGCCTGCTTCTGCCCTCCAGGGGCTGGGATTAAACGCCCACTTCACCATGCCCACCTTTTTGCAAGACTTTTTTTCCTTTATGTGTTATGACTATTTTGCCTGCATGTCTCTATGTGCTCCGTGTGCATGGCTATGCGTGGGTGGGGTCATCATGTGGGTGCCTGAACTGAACCCGGGTTCTGGGCAAGAACAGCAAAAGCTCTTAACAGAGGCTGAGCCAGTCCTCCAGGCCCTTGATCAAAGTTGACGCTAAGTGGCTACAACTATTCTGATGGTAGCTGACAACAAAACCATTTTGATTTTCGTTTTGAAAACATTTTGTTAGAATTGAAAGGTACTCCTTTTTGGAATGCGCTCTGCTTTTACGAAACTCTGGCCTTAGTAATTAGCTTTAGCATTAGCAACTTTTTGATATCCACCACAAGTGAACTCCATGTCACAACTTAGGGAAGTGGTTCAAAGCCAGTAACCGACTTGGAGGAATCACGCAGCAGTCACTGAGAAGTTGAGAACAGCTGCTACCTGTCCGGCAACACTGGCCCAAGCTGGTAGTGAAAATCGGCATCTTTTCCACATCGCCACCTGTCCTCCTCACTCGACCAGATAGGGAAACTTAACAAAGTACCGGGGCTTGCCTGACGCAAGGCTCGGCTGGGATAAGGGCGAGCTCACCTTGTCCTCGGGGTCTTTTACCTCCACGAACATGCCAAGCCCAGGGGTGGCTGGCTGGTACTCCTCCCGCTGTTTGTCATACAGCTGCGTCCGATAATTTCCTGGAGAGATGGAAAAAGGGAAGATGAGAAGAGCTTCATGCGGCGCCGGGGCAGCGGCCAAGAGGACAGGGCCAGGCCTGCTACCCGGGACGGTGCGCATCCCCCAGCCCCAAGCCCACTGACTGTCCCAAATGCTCCCCTTCGCCCCCGCACCGATGACCATGGTCTCGTCCGGAATTTCCTCAATAAAGCACTTCTTCTCTGTCTCCCCAATGTGGAAATACAGCGCGTCTCCGCGGGCTGCAAACCACAACAGCAGCAGGAAGGCCCGCATGCCTCTTCCCAGCAAGAGTCCGGGTGGGGTTCCGACAACCCGCACGCCTCGCTCGGCCGCCATCTTGCCCCACCTGCCTGCGCAGGCGCAGACTGCCGAGCCACGTAGCCCAGCGGAGGCCACCGCGGTGCCTGCTGGGACTGCGAGTTCCGCCGCCTGGACTACAAGTCCCTAGATACCCCTCGCCTCCGCGCGGCAGTACCTGATTGGGGCCGGTCCGTACAGGACTCTGATTGGGGTCTCGGAAATGGAAGGCTTACTTTTGATTCCGCTAAGTAGCGAGATGACTGGTAATGGTTGTCCGACTTTTATATTACTGTGAAACGGAAGCAGATATTTGAGGTTGCAGAGGCAAAATTGGAACCTGTTTCTCTAAGTAGTAATAAATTCTCCTTCTTCCCCACCCTCTTCCTCTCTCTCTTTACTTTCGTTTGTTTTGAGACAGGGTCTTGCTCTGTAGGTCTGCCCAAACTGGAACTTAGGGTGCAAACCCCTCCGGCCTCAAATTTATAGTGATCTTCCTGTTTCTGCCTCCCAAATGCTGGGATTATAATTATGCAACACCGTTCAGCCATCCTACTCTCTTTAAGTTACTATTTGCATGGTTTTCCATTTGTATCTTTTTTTAAAGATTTATTTATATAGTGTTCTCCCCGCACAACAGAAGAGGGCACTAGATCTCATTATAGATGATTTTGAGCCACCATGTACTTTCTGGGAATTGAACTCAGGACCTCTGAAAGAGCAGTCAGTGCTCTTAATTCCTGAGTCATCATCTGTCCAGCCACCATGAGTATCTTTTTTGTTTGTATTTTGGTTTTTCGAGACAGAGTTTCTCTGTATTGTTTTGGAGGCTGTCCTGGAACTCACTCTGTAGACCAGGCTGGCCTCGAACTCACAGAGATCCACCTGCCTCTGCCTCCCTAGTTCTGGGATTAAAAGCCTGGGCCACCAAAGCCGGGCCATTAATATCTTTTTATTTATGTCTTGGTATCAAAAATGGATCTCTTAATGGACAAAACATAATTAAATCATGTCTCTAAAAAGCCATTCTGCCAATCGCTACCTTTTAATTGTAGAGTTTATAGCACTTACATTTAATTTAATCTTCAACAAGATTTATAGCTAGCATTTTTGTTACTTGTTTCTGTATGTCTTATGCTTATTGCTCAACAGTATTTTAGTCTTTGTGAGGTGAACGTGATAACCACTACACTACTGAAACGAGCCTAGTATTTTAGTCTTTGTAGCATTGCGGCATCCTTTCTTTCTGTTTGAAACAAAGTCTCACCCTGACTGGTCTGGAACTTGATATGTAGACCAGGCTGGTCTTGAACTCATTGAGATCTGTATGCCTCTGCCTCCCGAGTGCTGGGATTGAATTAATCTCTTCATGCTTGTGGGTCCATAAAGGATACCCCTCTCTAGGCCTGAGATCGATGGATATTAGGAAAGCAGGGAAGCCCACAAGGCAAGAAGAGGGATCCCACGTTGTAGCTCCCACAAGAGTGAAAACTCACTAAACAGGCTGATAGTGCAGAGATTCCGTGGAGCCGGAGGTCCAGAGGGTACTGTAGGAATGCTGATGGGGAAAAGCAACAGAACCACTAGGTGTGACCTGCCTTCAGGCCTCTGGGGTGCAGGAGGGCAAGAGACCTAGGTCCACAGTGCCATTGGAGATCTCCCAGATGAAGAAGCACTTGTACAAACTGTGGGCCTCAAACAGTTTACTCTATAACCCGTGAAAACCAGCAGCTGCAATAGCGGCAGGGCAAGGCCGTCTGCTCAGGTACTCAGTCCCGTCAGCACCCGATCTGCCCACCGAATCCCATCTGCCCCGCCCTGTGGCCCCACCAGTAGCAGCTGCCTCTCAAGGGGCAGCAGTGTGAGCACAGCTGCTCGATGTACTTCCAAAATGCCTTCTCAGCTCCACTTTAGATAACGAAAACCAAGTTGTTTAGGTGTCTTCTTGATGATGCAGTAAGAACTTCAGCAGGGAAGGGGCTGTTCTATACAGTTAGCTTAGCAACCGTCCCAGACAGGAGCTGAGATGGCAGGGATGGGAGCAAGCTTATGATCCGAACCTGAACATAGAGGGACCTGGTTTTGGTGGGGGCAGGGGTGCCTTGAAGAACTGCAGAAATAGGAAGGGTGTCATGGCATTGATGGGGGTGAGGGTTCAACCCAGCACTGAAGCATGGTTAAATCCCCCCAATTAGGGGAGGACAAGAACTATTTAGGCAATGAGATTTGGGACGTCGAAGAAGCAGGAGAAGGACCAAAGGGAACAGGGGGGAGGGTAAGTTGGGTTGAGTCTCCAAGGGGTCACCAGGGGCCAGGTCCTCTTGCATGAAGGAAGAAATCCCTTCATCTAGAGATGCAAAGCAGTGGTTATGGGTGACTCCAGAGGGTAAAAGAAGGTGTCAAGAATGTAGTTTGAATAGACAAGGATGTCTGTATTATGTAAGCATGGCTTTGACCTTTAAGCCCATTACTAGGGAGGCAGAGGCAGGTGGATCCCTGTGAGCTTGAGGCCAGCCTGATCTATACAGTTAAGTTCCAGGCCATCCAAGGCTACACAGCGAGGCCTTGTCTCAAAAGTAAACAAATCAAAGAAACTGAAGTAGACTTTGAGATGTAAATGTGCCCATCATTACAATAGTCCCAAAGGGCAATGATCTAGGTGCTTGCTACAATTTTACATCTGAAATGTTGCTCACAAACTTATTTATTTGAACACTTGGCCTCTGCCTGATGGCACAGCCTGTGAAAGTTGTGGCACTGTGGGGATGATGGCCTGGCAGAAGTGGATCTCAAGAGCAGGCCCTAGAAGCAACGCCTGTGGTCCTTGGTTTTGGCCCAAGTTTTGTACTTCCTGATTCGCTCACACTCCTGCCTCTTTGATCAGAGATGCCCCCATTGTCATGCTGCCCTTGTTGCAATGGACCAATCCTATGGAATTGTCACCCTAAAGTAAGCCTCTCTCCCGTTAAGTTCTTTGTGAGGTATTTGGTCACAGAGATGTAAAAGTCAGTGTTGTAGGAATCTAGCAGAGTCACTGTGTCAAGGGGAGTTGTTTTCTAGAGGTACTTTAACCTTGAAGAAAGCTTTTTTCTGTGATTTATAGAGTTGTGTTTCTAAGGGCAGTTTACAGCCTCTGCATGACGTTGGTCAGGAGAAATTCCTGTCCCACCTGGAGCCCTTGGGTTGTTGGGTATTTCGAACAGTACACGGTGAAGACTAAGGTGACGGCGGTGTGATGCTTTCCTTCAGAAAACATAGATTAGATCAGGGCACATGAGGAACTTGTTTGCTCAAAACACAATTCTGCAACAACCGATAAATGCCAGTGGCCCCGTCAGAGGAGCAGGAGGTGACAACGGAGCTTCAGGAGACCAGCCCAACAGTACACAAAGCACTGATGGGTGAATCAATGAAGCATTAATCCAAATAATTTTTATGAATAAAAAAATCTGGAGTTAGGTATTAGGGTAAGAACCTGAGAGAGTAGGAGAAAGGGAACAGCTGCCAGTTGCTTACTCCCTCTTCCGTTCATCAGCCCAAAAGGGGCCAAGATCCCCTCTCCGCCCCACCTCACTACTTCCTGTCTCCTCTCTGTCTACAGTCCTCCGCCCCACCTCATGACTTCCTGTCTCCTCTCGGTCTACAGTCCTCCGCCCCACCTCACTACTTCCTGTCTCCTGTCTACAGTCCTCCAAGCCTCTATGGACAGTTAATGGCAAGCTCCACCCAAGCAAACTCGATTTGTCAGAACACAATGAAAATATCACACAACATTTCCCCCGTTTTTTTTGTCTAAATAAAAAGGGAAAGTTTTAACTAACATAGTAAAACTATATACAATAATTACAAAACTATGCAAACATATACAGGCGATAATCACATTAATAATGCCTAGTCCATTTGCATTTGACAAATTCAGAGAAAATACTCCATTAGCTATTCTATAATAGTGAGTCCGAAGTGTTGTACCTAATTCACTTTTTGACCTGTCCAGCAGGGCACAACGGGTTGGAGCCCACGGGAATCTGGAATGAATGAGACAAGAAACACAAGAGCGATGGACAGGAAGACAGACCTTCAGATCAAGCTGCCGTTTAATGAGAATTCTGTACAGGCTTAAATAGGGGAATGTGGCATTGGCCATGGGGCTGAGGTTGTTAGACCTGAGACTCTGGGAAGTGAGGGGCGGGGGGGGGGGGGCTGTTAGCTGCAGGGAACATTTGATATGTGAGAGAGCAGGAGATCTCATCAGAGAGTATAAGTTTTAGGGAGGCATTGTTAAGCCATAGGTTATCTCTATGGCGGCATAAGGCACCTGAGTTTTGGGATGTGCCCTGGGATAAGAAGTAGATTCAGTGGCTTGGTCCCCAACAACTTTTTATCCTAACTTGCATTACCAACCCAAAACTATCTTTTTATGTCTCTCAACCTAATACACTTTACACTTCTTTTGTGAGTTTCTTGGTTTTTCAAGACAGGTTTGCTCTGTATTACTTTGGAACCTGTCCTGGAACTCACTCTGTAGACCAGGCTGGCCTCGAACTCACAGAGGTCCGTCTGCCTCTGCCTCTCGAGTGCTGGGATTAAAGGCGTGCACCACCAAAACCCAGTCCCTTTTGTGAGTTTCTTTTCTGAATTTTTTATCGAGGAAAACAGTAACTACCTAGTGTTCAATTCTGTCAGAGATCTGAGAATAGGAAGTGCAGAGCAAACAACTTACAAAACTAAGAAATGATAGAAACAGCTGGCTGCCAGGACAGTAACCTGAACTTCCTCTGTAATGTCTGGCATCCATCTTCAGCCTACATGCCAAGAATGTCTGACAGACTTTTCTGTGAAGCAGGAATTTGAAGGGCTGTCCTACATTGTCCTGGCAAAGTTCGGCAGTCACTTTCTCTTGTGTCCTGCTTGTTCATTTTGGACGGCATACTGTCAGCAGTCGACGCAAGGGCAGTTACTTGCCCAATGGCTAGCTTTTGCCACAAAGAAAGTAAACTCCTTAAGGAGCTTCTTCAGTGCCCATCATTTTCTCTGAAGTAGATTGGTATAGCATGAATTCTAATTGTTC